TTCCTTCCACATAAAAGAGGCTGCTGGATTGGAGCACAGCGCCGGAGACGCGGGCCATCGCCTTTCGCTCCGCCCTGCCGCCGCGGCGCCGTGAAGAAACCGCGCCGCATACGCGCACGGGTGAGTTTGTACACGGAGCCGTTAAGGATGGAGCAACGAGTTGTTGGGCGCCGTTCGACTTGGAGGGGCATTTTGCACGTTCGCTAGGTCCTTTTGCTAATTCCTTCGAAAAGCGTCACACCCTGGTGAGGAGTGTAGACTCTTCTGAAGCGCAACAAGCGGAGTTTAGAGGTCCTGGTCCTTGCTCCGCTTCCAAGATGAGCGTGGAGCTGTCATTTGCTGGTCCGCCAATGAAAAATTAGATCACATGAAAATAGCGGGCAGTGGTTGTCTGAGCTGCAGAAGATGAGCATGTGATGGGGGAGGGGGGTAGGCTTTGCAGAGGAAATGGTTGGAGAAGGCTGAGCCACCTATCCTCGTTTGGAATTCGTCACATAAGCTTCAGAGCCACGGATCACTCCGTAGGCAACAGAACTCTGACGAACACACAAAAACCAACAATATGTGAAGTTCAAATAGCTCGCAAGATTGAGCGCCATAGCCGGAGTAATGGCCCTGTACAGGACGTGTAGTTGGGTTCGTCGCAGTCGGGCGGAACGGTCTCAGAGGCGTGCGATGAGCCCAGGGCCTTTTCTTCCAATGGTGGCTTGGGTAGAGAGCAACCAATGGCAGAATAGTCCGCGGAGAGATCGTACCACACCCATTACAGCCCAATTCATAATTCAGCAGATAGGGCATGGAAACGTGAAAATGGTGTCGCATGCGCGGCATTCGAACCGGGATCCAACTGATTCATCATGATAATACTGTAAAGCGACAAGTCAACTAGCTATGGAATACTTTGCTAGTTCGATCACGTTGCCGCAGCTCGGATGTTTCGAATTCACTCCTGCTCTGACCAACAGTTCATCGCATGGCGCGCGTTGATCTCCTGTTCACCCAGAAACAGAACCTAGGAGGCATATTTAGTGCTACTTTGTTTACGAGCATACTTGGTTACCTCAACTCGTAGAGCGGAGTTAAATGGCGCGCTCCATTGCGAACTTGCTGCGCTAATGCTTTGTCCACGGTCCTTTAAGATAGATTTTTCCTTTTCTCGTTTTCTCCTAGAATTTTCGCATTTGTAAGGATTTTGCGTGTACTATAGGTTTTCAGCATGTCATTATTTTAATTTCGACAGGAGCTTGTCTACCTTGGATGTAGAACATGTTCAGGTGTGGTTCATTTGATTCGTGAGCTCGCTTTGGGCTGTTGAAGTTGGGTGTTCACTTTGTGCTGTCAAGTGCAACGGTGGGTGGATTCTTTCTATCCTTTTCCAACTTTTGCTTTTGGTTTTGTTATGGGCCAGGCTGACGTTTCAGTCGTTACGAGTTCTTCAAGTGTGCGCAAATGTTCCTTTTTACAATAATTTCCGCAAAGTATTTGCGAATGCGGATTGGGATTGTACTTGTTATGGTCTAGCGGTAATTACTTACTGATTACTAGCCACTGAATGAGCGAGCCCCAACAGCAAGATTCTTGCGCACGAAGCTCCTTTTTGGCCGAAGCATTCGGCGTTAACCTACTCGGGGAGGGGGGAGGGAGAGGGAGAAGCGCCGCGCTTCCATATCCCTTCCTCTCATCAAGGCTTTGACGTAGAGCGCAGACAACCAGAATTGCCTAGAAATAGTCCCCCACAGGAGACTTAGTTGTCACTGAGCCTGAGCCTTCTTGGGCAAGTTGCCTCCCCTTACTACGTTAGCGCCGGGCCTCCCTTACCATTAGAGTGAAAGTGGGCTATGTTCAAAACTCTTCGCGGCGCTGGCTTAATGTAGGTCTGCAGTAGAACGCGTCGCGGTCACGTTTTGTAAGAAACCGGTGAACCAACAAAGGGTTCGCGGTGGGTTCTTATCCACCACGTTCATATCTAGCCAGATTATGTCTTCCGTAGGGGCACTTTGGGCAATCGAACGCGTCTGGCTCGTGACCAGTTGATTTGCCCATGTTGAAGTACCTTCGCATACGGCCTTCCGCAGAAGTAGCCCACTCGAGTTTGATTGAGAAGATTGGCTCTTCTCAAGGCAATCTTCTTACATTTAACCACACCTCCTCACCCAGTTGTGGCTGGCCTAGCATGATCTTCCTAATTTCTTGTCTTTCTTCGAGATCTGAAGCGAATAAGTCCAACTTCTCAAACTGGGGTAGAAAGACGCCACAATTATATTCCCATTCACAAGTTCTTGGGTTTAAGTGCTGGTTTATCACCAGCAGAATATGTTCATTCAATTCGTTCGACTCCCGTTGTTTTAGGTCGGTTGCGACTAGCCTTGCCTAAAATGTTCTGTTAAAATTCTGTTAAAATCACAATGTTGCTGTTGCTACTTTGCTCAGTTGCTTTCGGGCAGTATAGGGGGGGAAGGGGGCAGGAGTGCCTAGGCTATTCAAGATGTTTCATGTGATATCATGAAGTTATTGAAATGGAGCCATCAGTGAGCAGATTGTTTGAGAAGTTACTCGCCATTGCCATTTTATGAAGTGAGCATATTTCGTTTAGGAGTTGTTCAATGCAAGCTGATTGACATTACTGCCGGTGGATGATGCATGCAAAGTATGTAAATCATCATCTTCAACTATTTATGTCTAGGTGTCCCTCCCAATGTTTTCAGCGCCACATTTGCTCTAAGCGTTGATCGTAGAATTTCTTCTAGAGGGTTTACGGTTTTTTCCTTCTTCCGCTCCTGTGGACTTGGTTTTGGTGCCTTCGCCTTTTTCGCGATTTTTCTTTTGTTTCTTTTTTTCGAATAGTTTATGGTAGATTTTTGAGGTCATGATGTCGGGTAGAAATGAAACCAGCCATGCGACGGATATTCTACTGTGTGACTCGTAGTTTTCACAAATCTTCTACTAAATATGCTCGATGGCGGGACAGCTACAAGATGGGGCAGTTTATGCCAGAGTTGGGCGATAAAAAACCAACACACATTGTCGTCGGTGCAGGCTCTGCTGGATGTGTTATGGGTACGAGTTTTGCTAGGCTTCGTTTTATTTATTTCAATGGTTTTTTTTTAAGTTTCTAGTCCTTTCCATGGGTATTCTCTCGCTGAGATCACCCCAAAAAAATTGACTGTTTCAGCCTCTCGATTGTCTGAGAATCCAAATAATCGAGTGTTGATGATCGAGGCCGGTCCACAGGATCATTGGTGGGACTGGCGATTACATATGCCTGCAGCATTGATGTACAACCTCTGCCACGATCGATACAATTGGTACTACCATACAGTGGCACAGAAGAATGCAGCGAACCGCACGTTCTACTGGCCAAGAGGCAGGTCGGCTTTGTGTTGAGTGGTCAAGTGAATAGTGGCTTTGGCGGTGCTTAGACATCTAATTGAACATTGACTATAATTTTCGTATTGTTTTTTTAGCTGTACGGATATTGAAGTAAGATCGGCTTTCTTATGTACTCTTACAGAGTTTGGGGCGCGATGTCGTCACTGAATGTCGATCGTGTATTTACGAGCGTTTCTATCCACTCGATTTAATGATCGATGGGAATCTGAGGGTGTCAAAAGGATGGAATATTACAGAAAAGTTGTCTACCTGCTATCTTCAAAAAAGCCGAGACTTCATTTACCAATCAAAGTTGTCAATCTTAGCATAATGATAGTGCGTTTCATACTTTGAGTTATGCGTTGTTTGAAGGTACCGGAAACACTAGAGTCGATATTACTTTCCTGAACTTTTCTTTCTTTCCTGAGAACTTCTGTCATTGCAACTCTAAAGCGCGTGACGACAAAATATAGACGCACTTTTGGAATCTTTGAACTTTGTCAGCATCTTCTTCCTACCTGCTGCCGTTTTAGGGCCCTGACGATCCATACAGAGGTAATAACGGGCCGTTATACGTGACTCGCGGCCATGCTGAACATCCATTGCATCAAGCGTTTCTCGAAGCTGGCCGTCAGCATCCCATAGGGAACACTGAGGACATGAACGGCTTCAAGCAAGGAGGTGTTTTACGGAACCAATGGATATGACAATTCGTGACGGTGTACGGTAAGCTACTTGTCTTTGCCTAAGAGTTGATATTTTTGTTACTTTCTTCGGGTCTGTAGATTGCTCGGTGTAGTTCAGTGACGAGGGGGATGAGGCGTTTTGCATTTTTCTACTCCCCATCGACGTGTCGAGTCATCTAGAGAGCTTCAAGAGCTAACAAGAGTTGACTGGTTCTACCATAGCTTGCTCCAACTTCACAGGAGTTGACAGCTTTAAGGGTAAGATATGCAAGCCGGAACTAAGTGTACACAAGCAAATGGCAAACCTCTCCTCCCCTCCGCCCTTCCCTAGTCGCCGAACTGTCTTTTTCTGCATTCTTTCATAGAACTAGATGAGTTGCTACTCCAGCTCTTGAAGAATCAAACCTACTCCTGCCTGCAAATGTAGTGAACGGGGGTGCTGTCCGGCTGGAGGGAGCCGTTTTGCACTTTCGCTGGTTTCTTATTCGCTAGATCTTGTTTCTACGCGTTACCGATGCGGTGAGAACCTGTAAATTTTTGTCAAATTTAAACCCAGCTCGGTGTCATTCCGCGGCTTCCAAGAGTTATCTGGTCTCCAGAGGAGGCACCGGCGTTGATGATGAGAACCAGCAGAATGCCTCCATCAAGCCAAATGCGAATAGGCAGCGTTATAGCTGTGTTCTTACTTCATGACTCGAGCGATTCAGTCGCGCGCAATTGCGAGAGTCGCACAGTTTTGAGGAAGATAGTGTCTAGTAGTAGATGCTGCAACCAGACCGCTACTGTTGAACTCAAATTCAAATGGCTTTCTTTGACAGCGGTCGAGCGATGCGGCGTGATCGGCCTCAGCCGCAAGATTAACGAAGTGTTAACATGCCCTGAGAGAACTTAGCTGGGTTCAGTCTATAATGGTTTTTATTAAGTCATCCCATTCAAAAGTGCACAAGATTTTATTCATATAAAACGAAGAGAAAAATAGATATTTCGGTTTGGGTTAGGTAGATCCCTCCTTCGCCAAGTGACCTGCTCCAAAGCCAAGCCCCGCGCGTTTTGGCCTCTGGTACCCAAGGTTTTTTTTTCAACAAGCACGTAGTAAATTTTGCTGTTGATGCCATTCGGCGGAATGACAAAACGTTGCAGCGTTTGCCGTCGGGAGAGTACCCTCGACTGACCAGAACAGTTGGAATCGAACGGCTTTATATTGGGCGAATGAGGCGATTGAACCCAAGTCTCTGTATTGTTTGTGTCCCACCACTGCGCTATCTACAACAGTTACTCGGGTCTGGTACTATGACGGAAACGGCGGCCTTCTAGTAGTTGTGTGGTATCATCCATTTGTCGATCTGATTGCCGAGGAACAGGGAATATACACCGACAGCGACTATTTTATTCTCTGTATAAAGCCGCCAGAAAGCCACAATGTGGGAATCCTTCCCTATGACGATCATCCACTTGCGCCCACGTAACCCCTCATGGTAGAAATCCGGGCGGCTTCTCATCTGCATTCATACAAAATTGACGATTGTGAGTTTTGGCTCGAGGTCCAAGACCACCCATATTTCATCTAGGGCCGGGGTGCGTTTTCACAGTCGTGAATGACATCTTATGCTGAGAACATTACTGCTAGAGGAATAGAATTAGTGGTGCGTTCGTGCTTCTACAAGAAAATTAGATACCCGTGCGCACACCCTCTTGACCATCCTCACTTTATCGGGCATAACACAGCAGTTGCAGCAGGGATGCCGTCTCGCGGGGTAATGCTCGACAAAGATGCCAGGCTCTGGGATCAGACATTCAGCACTTGACTTCATCCACCTTTTTTCTTGTGCAGGATGAACATTATGGGACCATCCACGACAACAAACTTTTTCCTTTCTTCCTCTCTTTTTTTTTATCCGCTCCTAGCACCAAACCTTCCACGTTTATTTGGAGAACACCATACAACAACGACTGGTCCGCGCAATTCGCAGCAGCAAACTCCTGCTATGATGCAATTCCTCTTATTCTGATTTGAACATTCCAGGCCTGATCTTTCACACGCACTCGCTTCTTTTCGATTTCTCGAGAACTTTTACTGTGAGTAGTGTTCGCCAGATTTCACAGATAAGTAAGCTACAAGCGTATAGCCTCCAAATTGATATTAGTAGCCCGCTGCCACCATCCCCTTTGCTATTGCTGGCCATTTCCAGTCTATATGTCCGCGCACCTTCTTGAATGGGATGATCTAATTAATAACATATTGCGCTGCGATTGTTAATATTCCTGAAAAGGTGAAGTGTGTTTTAGATGTAGCACATCAAGAGCTTATATCTGGCCAAACCTGTCACGACCGAATCTTTATACGTCATCTGGAATTACTTGTACCCGCGTACTCCCATCTTGAACGGAACGGCGCGCCGTAGGTCCCATCGAGGTTAATAAGGTCAAGTGGTTTCAATAATGTTGCTTTATTCCCTGTATCTGTTCTACGAATTCCCAACTTTCCAGAAAAGTCAACTTTTATGGCACCGATAATATTGATTCCTACAGCCGTGAGAAGATTTACTGCGAGGGCGATGTGATACTTTGTGGAGGTGCGTAAAAAGCTCAGTGGAATGGTACTTCCAACAATGATTAAATCATTGGTAACAAGCAATTCCAAGCTTGTTTCTTTCATTTGGTTTTAAAATCATTTTTTTTGGTAACAGGTGCGATCAATACTCCGCAGCTGTTGATGTTAAGCGGTGTAGGTCCTGCAGATCATCTACGAATCCATGAGATTCCCGTTGTTGTCAATCTTCCCCGGTGTTGGACAGAATCTTATCGTAAGTTGCCAACACGCTTTAACGCATTAGGTGGCAAGTGCCTTCCGGAGGCAATGGTAGTATGTGGCCGCAATGGTCTTTACTTCTCGTCGTTTCTTTTGCTTGGTGAAAGCACACGTATCGAAAGAAAGTAGATTGGAGAATATTGCGCATCAAGTTCACTATACTCTCGCCAGAAAAGTAGCTCTTCGCGTTGAGTTGCAGGATCATCTGGAAGTGTATGTGCAACAGAAGTGTAAGCAGCCAATCACGCTGTGTACAACAAGAGTTCTTGGAGATTCCCACATAACATGATTAAAATTGGACTAGGTGAGTTGTAATTTACTTCTGTCTGACTTTCCTAGCCACGCTAGAGGAGTTGAAAATAATTAAAAAACTAGATGAAGGAGCAAAAGTTAAGAAAATACTCAAAGGAAGTTGATGAAGGGGCGAATTCGGCTCTGAGAGGGGCTTTTTGCAGTTCGCAGCTTCCCTAATTGTGTCGAGCTATCGAACGGAGATCTGTGAAAACATGTTAAGCCATGAAGTGATACCAGTCAAAGATTACCAGTAAATTCTTGTAGAACAATGAGCACGTCAATAGGGAATAGCAGATGTGCGACAAGTCCACGCCAACCCCACCCGCCCCCGCCACCACCACCCGTCAAACCAATGTTACCAAGGTCTAATAGGGGAGTTCTCCAAACTGTTCGAGCCTATCTGGGAGTTTGCCAGGCAGGTCAGATGCACTGGCAAACACTCTCATTTGGCGCCGGTCATTATGTGATACTCGGCGCAGGTCCATTAGGTTTACAAGTTAGCAATTCCCCTTCCATCGCGCCTACTACGGAGTAGATGGCCTTGTTCTCTTGCAGATCTCTTGGCGTGTCGAAGAGCGGGGGGAGGCCGTATTTGGCACGGCGCAACCCATTTGCCACCATTGTTGTCGCTTGCTCTCTTCAACTGTTTGTGGAGATCGAGCAGGTGCTTAGCAATGCCCTGCTTCCCCCTGACGTCCCTGCAGCCACAGGGAACTAGGCTGTAGCGGCGGGTGTAGCTCTTTTAACCATTTCTGTTTCGTAAAAAATAGGCTATACGGAAATAGTAGCATTTCCGTCGATATGATAGGATTGGAGAGAACACCGATTGCATCGCATTCAAATTAATAAAGTGTCGTGTCATCTCCCTAAAACCTATTTCCTAGAATGGTTCGCTACACGAAAAGGTCTGGGCGCCACGAGTCATCTTGAGACAGGAGGATTTGCAAGATCAAATGACAAAGTTGAACATCCTGATATTCAGTTCCATTTCCTACCATCCACTGTCCATGATGACGGTCGGACAGTTGCTAGCTGTCATGCGTACCAGGTAGGTCAAGTCGGAATGTGGACACAGGCAATCGATAAATAGCGCGCGCTGCTGGGTGTGCTCGCATAAGAATTCCAAGCAGAGATGAGTCTATATGCGGGCGAACAACTCCGCTCCGAAGGACGCGTTGTTCTAGCATTGGTCCGTTTACTGTTGTGTCCACTACATTCAAGACGACCAAGGCTGAAAACCTCGTCCTGTCGGGAAAGCACGTCGTCGCCCGTCATATAGACTCATCTCTGCTTGAATTCTTATGCGTTTTGATACTCCAATCATCAAAGTGGTGCACATCGAGAATTTCCCGCACAAGACCGCACAATACACCGCGCGCGGCGACGCGGCAAATTACGATTGTCTTTGTCGTTTTCCCGTCAAAGTTTCACATCCTCTATTTCAGTTTTTCCTTAAAGACAATTAATTTCAACCTTAATTCAGGTTCATGTGGGTAATATGCGGACGAAGTCTAAAGGGTGCATCAAGTTAGCTTCCAACGACCCGAGGCGACACCCGATCATTGACCCGAATTACTTGGACCATGATGATGACTGGAAAGAGTTCAGGTGAGTTGGAGTTATTGGTAACATCGAGAATGTAATAGTCCAGTATTGTTACCCTATTCTCTGGGTATAAGGCGCACACTTTACAGGGCTCACCTGCCTCAAAAGGCGTAAATATTTGAAGTTTTTTGTTTGTGGTCTGGTTAAAACAAAAATATGCAAAAAGGCCGATAAAGCCGCTGCTATTGCGTAACTTCTTGCGCGTGTCGTCCCGATCATTGAGCAAGTGCGCCTTATACCCTAGAAAATAGGATAATTTTTAGTGCTGAGGTTGAGTAATTTGTAACAATCCGTGTTTGCAGAAAATGTGTACGGTTATCACGCGAAATATTCGCCCAGAAGGCTTTTGATCCATATCGTGGCGACGAGTTGTCACCTGGTAAGGACGTCACGACGGATGCTCAAATAGATAATTTTATTAAGTAAGTTTCCAGTTCTTCATTGTCATGCTATCTTTCCATATTTCGGATTAGTTCTCATGGGATTTTTAGGCACATGTCGGCATCCGCATATATCGCATCTTAGTTCTTTGCAATGGCTCAGAAAACGACAAAATGGCCGTTGTTAATCCGGAGACGTTGACTGTCCACGGGACCAAAAATTTGAAGGTACGTGCTCAAATATTCTTTGGAAAGCTAGTTCTGGAGCAGGTGAGCAGGCCGCTTGGCCTTCACCAACCTCAGCAGTTAGTTGCTACTGGCTCGGTTAAGCCATCCACATGCTCCGCGGTGACGATGGTGCGGCATGGAGGCTCTGGCTGGTTGCGGTCCTTTCCTCTGGTTGCGAAGAAATCACGATGAAATCGATCTTTTTTTCCGCTTCTTTTTATTACGTACATGCACTCCTTAGGCTCAACTTTTACTTTTCTGAAGGTTACTCAATTTCAGGTTGTTGACGCAAGTATTATGCCGTCAGTTGTGAGTGGAAATCTGAATGCCCCTGTGATAATGATGGCAGAACGAGCAGCTGATATTGTTCAAGGGAAGCATTTGCCCCCAGAAACAGTGCCGATTTATAGTCATAGTTCTAAATAGCTTAGCTCTCAAGAAAAGCAAGCTGTGTGCTAAGCAATATGTTGGTGGTTTACACTGCAGTTAATTTAATAGCGCTAAAATTGAATCCTTGTTCTCTAATTAAAGGTAATTCTGATTTGTATTAAGACCTAGTCATTAGATAGGAAATTTCGAATGAATTTAAGATCTTCTAGGTGATCTTTTTCATGAGCTATTGTCTACGCAGGAATCGTTTCTTGGTGCAATTCTACATGGGGGGGGGGGAGGGGGGAAGGTTTTCCACTTCCGCGCATCTTCCCATTATCGTTTTCAATTACTTATTAACAAGATTGACAAGATTAATCTTTACAGAAGAGCTGACAAATAGTTTCTAAAAACTGACTTCATGAATTTGCAGGATTTCATAGGTCTCGATTTGATGGCTTGACACGTCCATGTAGCAGAAGTGCAGAATGCCCCTCCCCACCCCCGCGTCGCCAAACTGCGTTAGTTTTGTCTTTCGTATTATATTATACGGAGGCCTCATGGCGATCTGAGTGCGAAACTGCAGATTGAGGCTCCAAAAGGCTCAAAAGATCCAGAAAGCTACCCGAGCGCGAAGTTTCATAAGGCTAAGAATACTCTCTTATTGGTGCCGCTAGTTGATATGCAACCTGGTAGAAGGCAAAAATTTGGACTAATTCACGCGAGTCCGCCTGCCACGGTGGGGCTTCGGCTAGAAAGGCAAGTTTTTCATCCATAGGAATGAACTCGCATTTGTCAGTTAAAAATACCTTTTATATTTATCTAGTTGGATGCTATCCAATGGATAAGTATTCCTGGCTTCTTGAGGGCTCTGCCCACTGGCAAAGCACTCTTGTAAACTCCACAGATCTGAGTCCTCGGAGCTTTGTGGGATAAAAACGTTGGAGCCTTGCTGTCAAGCGGTGTTTCTAGAGCCTTAATAGCAAGAGTTTTTAGGAAGGCCTAGGCTGTTGACAGTTTAGTTGAACAAGATGAGATACTTTCTGGTGTTGAATTGCGTGTAAGGCTTGTACAGGTGATTGTAACACGTGGTTGCAAAAGCTGTTTCTCGTGAATGAAACAGAGTTGTTTAGTATTTCTTGTTTTCGTTAGGCGTTGTTTCAAGTCGTTTGTG